CGCCCGGGCCCCCGCCTGCCCCAGCCCCTCCCCCGCTCTCTACCCGCTGCCCCCCGACCGCCGGAGCCCGCAGCCGGGAGCCCGACCGCCCCCGCCGCCGAGGTAGGAAGCCCCCGGGCGTCGTGCCGTGGAGACGGAGACCGGGCTGGGGGACCCGCCTGTCGCGCGGGGGCTGCGGGGCTCGAGGGTCGCCTCCCCCTCCCGCGTCTCGCCCCGGGCCATTGTGAGCCCTCGCTGGGGCCCCTACGCTCGCTCCCTCGCTGGCTCGCGCGCTCCCTCCCTCGCCGGCTTCCCGGCCCCGTCCCTCCGTCTCTGTCTTTCTCCTCCCTCCTGCCCTCCCTCTGTCCCGAGGCCGGGCTGAGCCTCGGCCCGGCCCGGGGCGGGAGCAAACTTCGGCGTGGAAGTTAGGTGGCCGCGGTGGGGGCGCGCTGCGGGGTGAGAGGGGACCTCCGGAGCCTGGGCATGAAGTTGTCTAGGGCAGCCGGGCAGCCTCCCCTTCCCACGGCTGCGCTGGGGTTGTTTCTAGGACGGGGTCTGAAAGGTGTCTTTTCCCTTGTCCCGGAAAATCTCCCTTCTGCTGCCCCTGATTAGACCAGGTCTTTCCTTGGGCGGGGGAGGGCGGCTTCTTTGGGGATCAGGTCGGGGATGCTGCCGCGTTTGGACTGGGAGCTGGAGTCCTGTCCGTCACTTGTTCCTCCCCTGCTGTCTGGGTGCAAGCAGAGGGCCTGGCAGAGTGGGGAGGGCAGGGGTACCAAACCTGCCTGAGGAAAGGCCAGGAGGGGACAGGGGAGGGGATGAGGCAGGTGCATCTAGAGGGAGGGATATGCCCGCACCCCCCTGCTTCCTTGCTGGCCCCCTGGGATGGGGCTGGAATCCAGGCTGGCACCTGGAGGTCTTGGCACACTGCCCTGCCCAGCCGGGTACTCAGGCCACAGCAGGGCAACATGCCGCCCGTCTGCCATCCAGGAGGGCCCGCCTGGCCTGGCCACCCTGGGCAGCAATGGTTGCAGGGAGCTACCCAGCCCTGCCTTGGGGCCTGGGAAGCGGGAAGGGATCCTGGGAGGAGCCCTGGGCCCCCAGCCATCTCAGCCCAGGATCTTGGCTCTGAAGGGAACGCTTGACACTGAAGGGGCAGCAAGGCCAGCCCAGGACCTGGCCAAGGCCTGGGTTCTCGTGGTTCTTCGTCTGGACCAGGGACAGGGCCCGAGCTGTAGTCCTGGGAGGCAGCCATCCTGAGGGTCCTACATGCCTGGTCCTGGCATCCTGGAGCGAAGGTGGGGCTTAGCCGGCAGCTAGGGAAGACAGCCAGAGACGCTCTGCTCCCCAGTGCCTCCTTAAGAGCCTTCCTCAGCCCCTAGGCTTAGAGAAGGGGAAACTGGCCCCTTCAGTCTGCCCACCCATCCAGCCCTCCCTTAGCCCCACACCGGTGCCACAGTGCCACAGCTGTTCCAGCCCAGCCCACACATCCCTCCCCATGACCTCGGAGCCTTTCCCCTCTGCTCCTCCTTCTCCCCTCTGGGCCACTGCTGGGCCTCCCAGCTGGCTCTGGCCTGCACTGGGGGAGGGACTGCACCTGGGGGCCGCTCCCAGGATACCCCTTTCTGAGCTTCAGCCCAGCCCATTTCACAGCCCACCCCCAGCTCTTCTTAGTCCTGTCTGCAGCCTGCCAAGCAGGAGGCAGTCTCAGGGTTGGGGACCCCTTGAAAGCAGCCCTGTTTTCGTTAGCCCCTTCCCCTCCCCCTCCTTTCCGGAGCTGCCATTAGTGCTGACCCTCTGACCCCCCCATGCCTGCCCTCCCTTCCCTGTCTGTGACCTCTGACCTTTGGTGTTAAATCCCTCCAGCTGGGGCTGTTTGGCCCCTGAGTGACCCTGGGGTAGGCCCCCTGGGGGGGCTCTCCCCGCTCCTGGCTCTCTACACAGGGGCACCTGCCAGTCCCTCCCTCACTGATGGGGAGGGGGTGCCCCAGGAAGCCAGACAGTGAGTCACTCCTCTTCCAGGCACCACTGCTTTTGGGTCAGTGGCTTTGGGGGATTCACTGGAGCTGGGCCACAGCCTGGAGGGGGTGTGGGAAAAGCCCCCTCCTAGAAGTCTGACGTTCTGGAATTGAGTCTTGGCTGGGCCACCGACTCCCAGGGGTCCTTGGGTCAGGCTCCTCCCCTTTCTGGGTCTCAGTTTCCTCATCTGTCAAACCAAGGGGTCAGACAAGGTGAGCTTCCTGAGCACCACAGAGTCCATGAGAAGACTAGGAGGAGGGGTGACAGAGGGGGTAAGGCCAACAAAAGCCAACTCTCAATTATCCGTGGGTGGAGCCAGTATGAATAACTGGATGCCACAGACATCCAAAAACCTCATTTTAAACAATCGTGTGAACCACGTCCCCCCTAAAGCTTTGTTGTTTCTAGAAAGCTGAGCTTCAAATGGATAGCCACAGCCATGTCTTCTGCCTGGGCTCCCGCCTTGCTGGGAGTGCCCATGGAGGGTGAGAGGGTGAACCGGCCTACAGGAGACAAAGCTCTCCAGGGCTTCTCCTGGGACCTGTCAGGAGGCCTAGACCCCTCTCTCAGCCCCACCATTTGGCCCTCTCTCCCCTCCTTCCCTGGCCTGGCCTTGGCCCCCAGGCAGTGGGAGTGTCTTCTGCCACCTAATCCTCCCAGAGTCTGAGCTGCAGTGTAGAAGGAAGAATGTATTTTCCTGACATTTTCCCATGTGGGTTTCCATCTCCCAGACTGGCCTGGAATCCCAATTTCCTTCTTAGGTGAGGGGGCAGGCATGGGTGCTGGGCAGCGTTTGGGGCAGTCCCAGGATGAGGGAGGGTGGCAACAGCTGTGGCCAGAGGACCAGATGTGGGGAGTGGGGCCTGCAGTTGATCTATTTGGGAAGTATTTGGGGTGGGCCCCTGATACTGGGGGTGGGGCAGGGAGGACTGCTGCTCCCAGCGCTCCCCTCCAGTGTCCCAGGGGAGGCAGGCTGAAGAGGCCCCTCACCCATGTGGGAAATTCAGATTGCAGTGGAGATGCCTGAGCTAGGTGGAATTGTGGGGGAAGGGAGCTGCCTTTTCTGTGGAGAAACCTTTCTTTATTCAGGGTTATTATTGTCATTGTATATTTCTCGCAGATGACTGAGGCCATAGGGGTGACCCCTGGAAGGTAGTAGGTGGTCTTTCCTTCACCCAGACAGGTGTCCTTTTCAGAGGTGCTGGCTGGTGAGTGGATCTCTTGGGCCAGCCCAGAAAGATGTAGATACCAACCCTCCCGTTACCAGAGTTGCCTCCCCTCCCGGGGCCTGTGAAAGAGCCCTAGAAAGGAGCTGAGGCCCAGACAAGTGTCTAGGGGTTCACCTCTCTGAGAATGCCAGGACACCCAGCCTTGTCCCAGCCTGATGCCAGCCCTGAGTGTGGGGACTACAGATTTTTCGAGGCCCTTGGGACACATCTGTCCCAACAGTAGTTTCCAAAGTGGATGCCTCAGCCCCACCCACCCTGGAGGATTCTAATTCAGGTGTGGCTAGGCAGGGTGTCAGCCAGGACCTCTGGTGCTTCGCTGATCAGCCAGGGTTGGGGCAACTAACTGCCACCTGCTGGGGGGGTGTCATGCAGGGGCACAGCCTGGAGTGACCCAGGTTTCTCCTCTGTCTCACATATAGCCTTATAAACCTTTATTGTCTTTGCAACTAATAAAAATTCCATCTTAGGTCCCCAGGGAGGGGTTGGGGGTGAAGCGAGTCAGGGATGGAGCAGCATGGGGGGAACACCTCAAAACAACTTTCTGAAAAAATCAATATAATGCCTTCCAATGGCCTGGTGAATTTTGCAGTGTTGACATCTGTCACTTGAAATTGTCACATGAACCTTGTGGGAGAGATTCTTATTAGACGAGTGTGGAAACTGAGGCTCAGGTGGAAAAGGGCCAGTGGGCATTGGGGCTCAAGTTCCCTGGGGGTCTGTTATAGCTGGGGGTGGGGGTGTCTGATCTCCAATTGCCTACCTAGCCTGGGACTAGAAGGCGCCCCGCTCCTAAGGGGAACTGGAGCCTAGCCCCAGCTGTGCACACAGGGTCCCAAGCATCCATTCTTTTCCTGCTCTGATCCTTCTGGCCGCCACTCCAGTCCCTTCCATGGAGGAAAGTGAGGCCTGGCCCGGGTCTGCAGGGGTCCCTGGCCCTCCTTTCCCTTCCAGCTCTGGGACCCATCCAGGAAAGCTCTGGGAGCCTCCACACAGCCAGTCTCCAGGGAGCCCCAGAGGTCTGACTGTCCTGGCCAGGATGTTTCTCCAAGCTTCCTCAGGCTGGGCAGGGTAGAGGCCCTGGCTCTGGGCCTCTTGTGGGGGAGCTCTGGCCTTCCATGCCCAATCCCCCTCCCAGATGGGATGGAGGGTTCTAGTTACTGGTGGCCAGGCTGGGAGGGGCCTGCAGGGCACAGAGATGGGAAGTGATTCTGATGGAGGAGGACTTCCTATCTGTTCCAGATGCCCCTGGCAGAGGATGGAAAGGGGCTGAGAATCTTCCAGGCCATGACTGAGGGGTGGCTGGGGCCTCCTCAGGTCCTTTGTCTGCACTGCCCAGGAGGCCAGGTAGTACATGCCACAGGGAGGGCCCACCGTGTGGGCATGTGACATGTGTGTGCCCACATACTCCCACCTTGGCAGATGGCTGCCTGGGGAGGGGACTCAGACCCGTGGAAACTGAGGCTCAGGTGGAAAAGGGCCAGTGGGCATTGGGGCTCAAGTTCCCTGGGGGTCTGTTATAGCTGGGGGTGGGGGTGTCTGATCTCCAATTGCCTACCTAGCCTGGGACGAGAAGGCGCCCCGCTCCTAAGGGGAACTGGAGCCTAGCCCCAGCTGTGCACACAGGGTCCCAAGCATCCATTCTTTTCCTGCTCTGATCCTTCTGGCCGCCACTCCAGTCCCTTCCATGGAGGAAAGTGAGGCCTGGCCCGGGTCTGCAGGGGTCCCTGGCCCTCCTTTCCCTTCCAGCTCTGGGACCCATCCAGGAAAGCTCTGGGAGCCTCCACACAGCCAGTCTCCAGGGAGCCCCAGAGGTCTGACTGTCCTGGCCAGGATGTTTCTCCAAGCTCCCTCAGGCTGGGCAGGGTAGAGGCCCTGGCT